GTTGCGGTTGATTTGGGGAAAAAAGAGGCGAGCGCAGCGCTCCGGAGACGGAGGTGCCTCTGTGGGCAGGCGGGAGGAGGGTGGGTGGGCAGACCCTGATGGGAATCTGGTGCCACAGATGTGCTTGTGTCTATGTCCTCCCTTTTCCTCTCTTTTCCTCTTGCCTTACCTTCTCCTTCTCCAACCAATTCATCAGGTCTTTGACTTTTTCTTTCCAAACCTGCACCCGATGGCTGTGTCCCCCCCCGAGGATGTTTTGTTACACACCGTAGCGTCTAAATCTGGTGTCTTTCCAGATTCATGCCAAAATCTTCCTGGGAATCAAGGTGCAGTTGTACCCGAAGCGGAGGGTGCAGTGTGATGGGGCAGTGCTCCCTGCCTGCATGGCTGCCTTTGCCAGAGGCTTTGCTCTGCTCTTGGGGGAGGGAGGAGGGGGTTTCTTTGTTAGCTTTCCTTCTCCTGCCTGCCTGCAGCCAGGCCTCCCCCTGCCACAGCCAGGTGTCCTTGCTCCCCCCAAAGAGGCAGCGGTGGGGTGTCCAGGGATGGCGGGGTGGGACAAAATCTGGGGATTGACCTGGCCTGGCTGAGCTTTCTTGCCCAGCCTCCTTCTGGTTTGGGCTGTGGCTGCCTTGGGAATATGAAATTTAATTCCTCTCCTCTTTTGTTCTCCGGGGTTGTCTGTAGTGTCCTGCAGCACTCACACCTGGCACCTGACCCAAACCACGCAGGAAAGGGTGACTTCAGGGTGACACCTCAGTGCAGGACACAGGCACAAGGAGTTCTCCTCCAAAGCAGCTGGCCAGGGCCTGCAGGTGTCATTTTCACCTGCTTTTAAACAAACATTGCAAGTGTTTTCTTTGGCATTTTAAAACTGCTGTCACAAGCCTGTTCTCTGCAGAGTGAGCAGCTTCATCCCCTCAGGACACCTTCCCAGGGATGGAGGCAGAGCTGGACATGGCGTGAGGGCCACTGGCACCCTCCAACCCCAGCACCAATGGCCATCCTCACATTTCCCAGTGGGAGAGGAAGGATTTTTTCCTATCCCATCCCCATCTCCAGACTGGGTTATAGGACTATAAATCCTTGGTCTCAAGGAGAAATATATGAGCTGTAGTGGGTATTAGTGGTGGGAAGCACACAGCACAGAGGATCTGGCATGGCTCTGCTCCTGTGCCTGAGGGACTCTGTCCTGGCAGTTCATGTGAACTCCTAAAAACACGGTCACCTGGAACAAGTAACAGCAGTGGGCTGTGAGATGTTCCTGGGGATGTAATTCACCTTAATGAACAAATACCCTGAGCAAATCAGTACCCACAGTCCCACACTTTTTATCTTCACGTGTTTCACAGGAGTGCAGAATTTGATCCATCACACCAAGCTTGTTGCACTGCAGAATTAAATATAGGCAGCATTAAGCAACACTTTTGGCAACTCCTCCGGTGAAATCTTCCAGTAAAAACCTATCAGTGGCCCTGAGCACTTTGGGAAATCATAACAAGGAAGAAGCAGAGGCGGTGCAGTTTTACAGACTCCCAACGCACAAGAAAGCGTTTTATTTAAAAACAATGCACTCCATATCAGGTTTCGGCACACGAGTCCACGCCGCGGGCACGTCACAGCACGGGATCACGCCGCGGAGCTGCCGGGCCCCGATGCTCACGGCCACGGGGGGAGCGGGGGCACCGGGTGCTGAGCAGCCCCCGGGCTGGGGACACACACGGCCGGGTGCCAGCCCCCGGGCACTGTCCCAAGGCTCTCTGTGGTCCTGAGGCTGGAGCAGCTCCGCTGGCAGCGTCCTTCCCGCCACTCACCTGGCCCTTTATGAACGTCAGCCATTGAAAAATAAACGATGCTTGAACTGTAGAGCCACTGAAATAAGGACACATTCACTTACAGAAAACCTGCTTTTTCCTACTTGCCCTGTTTTTGCAGCCTCCATTCACAGTTAGCTCTGTTTCACAAACTCTTACAACTGAACCTGGTAGCCAAATGCCTCGCTAATGTTCACCAAGCAACGAAAACAGAGACCCAAGATGTATAAAAGAAGAGAGGAAACATGTATTCCCAATCCTATGTACACCCCCAGCACCCCTGCACCCATCCTGTTGGCAAAGGGGCTGGAGAGGGATGTGGCTGCCACTGGACACTGTCCTGGCAGCCCAGGGCCGAGCAGGGTCTCCCAGTGGAGGGAGCTGCTCGGGAGGACTTCTCTGCATTTTGGAGCCTCAAATGTTTTGTACTTACAGGTATCGATCACGCTGCATTAGCTCTGTTGGATTGTCTAGACATTCAGTCACGGGAAGGAGAATTCTCCCTGACCATCAGGAATTCATGTGGGAAGGTTTGGGGCTAAAGAGAGGGAAGGAAGAGCCCAGCTGAGGTGATGCCGCTTGGCTGGCCTGAGCAGGGAGGGCAGCCCCCAGCAGCTGGCAAATAACAATGAAATAAATAATAAAGATACTTGCTTATTAATGCAAAGGCATTTCTGCTGGAGAGAGGCAGCCCCAAAAGAGCCTCTCCTCAGCCGCTGTCTTCTCCATCCCCTGCCATCCTCACCTCTCCCTCAGACCCCACCTGGCAAAACAAAAGCTGTGTGCTTTGAGATGGTTTTCCACCTTGCATAAGCTCGGGCAAAATATTGATACTAAGAAGCAATTTACTTTGGGCTGTGCTGTGCCATCGATCACGGGGCAGAGCTCCCCATTAAAATCAATGATTCTGAAATGTTCAATGTGGGTCTGGAGCATCGATGGGGCGTTTTGCTTCAAAATCAATGATGTGACATGGCCTCCTGTCAATAATTTTTCTGTATTCCCGTTTCCAAATATTTGCTGTCAGTTTTGTGCTTCCTTCTCTGCCTTTGGTGCCTCTTTGTGCTTTTGTAAAGTTCTGGTGGTGATGCCCAGGACTGGCAGGGGGTTGTGCCCCTCTCTGGGATTATGGGAGGTTCCAGAAACTGGATGGAGCACACTGTCCCTGCTTTCATGCCAATATAATGATAATAGTTCCCATTTCTTTCATTTGCTGATGAGAAATGATGGGTCCTGCAGGAAACTGGTAAAAGGCCTCTTGATAAAAATATCTGGCATTGACACAAGCCAACAAGAGTCATTTGGGGTTGGGGGTGACCCTTCTGCCCCGGTGGGCTTCGAGCTGCTGGGCACAGCTTTACCATGGAGCCCAGTGCCAATATCAGAAATTAATCATTCCTGCACGACATTAATGACCATCTTCTTTCCCTGTGCAATTTCTAATTTGGGGCTAAACAATCTGTGTGCTCCAGCACGTGGAGAAGGGTCCCTGCAGGCTCTGTTGGGACCAGGGCTGCCCAGCCACGGCCAGCCCCCCAGAGCTGTGATCCCAGAGCCCTTGCTGGCACTGGGGGGACTCAGTGCAGCGCTGGGACATCACCACTGTGACTCCAGGAGCACAGGCACTCGAGCTGGACCCCGATGGGCAAGTGTGAGGAGCACAGGACTGCCCAGAGCCCCGGGAGCGGTGGCTGGGGCAGCTCTGGACATGGGGCAGCTGTGGGGGGTGATCCAAGCCCCACCACAGCACTAAACAGCCTTTGGAAAAGCAAAGCTGGGAAATGTGGGATAATTCAAGGGAAGGAGAAAGCCATCTCTCCAGAGGGGAGAACCATCCTGGCTGCAGGGCCAGCAGAGCTGCGGTGCCACAGTGGGCACCAGGCCATGCCTGGCCTGCTCAGCTTGGGTGTTGTGCTGGAGATCTCCTCCCTCATCTCCTGTGTCTGAGCACAGGTAAAGAAGCTAAGAAAAACTAACCTGTGCCATTTTAAATACTGGATTTTGCATCTTCTTTCATTGTGGGGTCAGTTCTCAGTCACAACAGTAAAAAATTGTTAAGTACTTGCCAGCATACTCACAAGAAACCCAGTTACATCCCAGGCTCCTTTATCCTGAGACATAATGGCCAACATTTCCCAGCTGTAAGTGACCCTGTTTTTTGTCCTGTTCCCAAACAGTTGGATTTCCTGTGGTGCCAAGGAAGCATCTGCCCTGTCTGCCTTGGAGTGCTGGCGGTGATGGGAAAATGGGGACACTGCTGCAGCTGACTGGTGAGTTAGAGACATAAATGGGGAAATTTGGTCATGGCATTTCTTCTTCCCTGCGCTCCAGCTCCGCTCACTTCCCTGCAAAAACTGGTTTTTAAAAATCCCAGCACATGGCTTCCGTTTTTGCCCATCCTGCCAATCCCTGCCCAAGCAGAGGGATGGGGTTTGGGGCTTTTCTCACCGAATAGGTCTCCAGAGAAGCCTAATTCCATGTATTGTGGTGGTTCAACTGTAAAATCAAATGACAGAATGGTATCAGATGGATGGGAATGAACATGCCTCCCTCTGTCTAGCCTGGACTAGGACCTGTCCCGAAAGGAATTAAAACACTGAAGTATTCCAAGAATGATATAAACACCTAGCTAAGGTCTGAGCCGCTTTGTGACCTTCTTCTTGTTGTTCTTTAAAAAATGCAAAACTCAGTAAATAGGAAAATACCCAAGCAGTGGAGATGAGGATCCACAGCGAGGAACTCGCTGGAGCTCCGTCTGCCACGGCAACGCTGAGCTACTGAGAGCAACAGATACAAAAGAAGCAAAACCTTTTAAAAGCAGCATTTCTAGCTCTAATGGGAAGGAACAACAAAATTATTTAGGGTGTTTAGCAGAAGGCTAAAACATGAACAGGTATTAAAACATACTGAGTGGCTTGGCTAGAAATGCAAAATGTTTCAACTTTGCAGCCGCACAAATCGCATCCACAGAACGTGCTAAAAGCCTCTGCACCGCTAAATATGCTGAAACCCTTGGATGAGCAGCAGCCAAAAAGCATCTTTAAATTACGGAAAAGATTCTAGGGCGCGTTTGTTTCCTTTTTAGAATTCTATCCCAAGAACGTTTAATTTGGTTTTGGGCACTTTTTTTTTTTTTTTTTTTTTTTTTTTTTTTTTAGACAATTGTTTGGCACTTCGAGATTTAGGTCCTTAGGCACAATGAGACAAGGTGAGCTTGGCCAGTCCTTCACCGTGCATCCTGTAGAGCAGCTGGAACTCTGCGGGCAGCTGGTGGGACTCCTGCCACTTGGTGGTGAACTTGGTGCCCTTCTTGTCGTAGTAGTGGTACGGGAGGTCCTCCCGCGTGTTGGGGTCGAAGGCGAAGGGCCAGAAGCCGTAGAGGTGGATCTCGTCGCAGATGGCCGAAGCCAGGGTGTACATGAGGATACCCGTGCTCAGCCGCTTCGGGGACAGGTGCTTGTTCCGCCAGTACCTGCCGAGACAAGGGCGTGGGTCGGGCTCAGTCTGCTCAGGAGCAACCAAAGGTTGTTCTGAAGCAGCCACAAAACTTCAGTGGTTCTGGAGAGAAGCGGTCCTGACTAGCCAGGCTGCGCCTCCTGTTGCGGTGTGCTTTTATACTTTGGAATACTTTGGAATAGTTCTGGTTTTGCATCCCCTTGTTGTACCCCCTTCCTCTACCTGTGGAACCATTCTCCTGTGTTGAGATCATCCCCCAAATCCCCGCCCTGGCTCTCTGCCAGTCACTCAGCATCCCATCCCTTCTATCTAGATCTTTCGGTCAAAGCCGTCGAGTGATTAGCCCGAAGCCAGGGGTCAGCCCCCCAAGGATGATGTTATACTCTATCCCAAATGTCCATCCCCTAAGGCTGTATCCCTGGAGGGTCTTTATTGGTCAGCAAATGTATCTACCCTCGGGTTCCTTTAAATGTAACCTCGAGACTCCTTTGTCTCACTCTGAGCACGGCGCACCCTGAGGAGTGGGGCTCTCTGGGGAGCTCCGAATAAACCTTGGATTGGCCCCCTGTTCAGAGTCGGCCTTTTACCCTCCACTGATCTCTCCTTTGTCTCTTCTGCTGCAAAGGTGACCAGCCCAGCTGCCCTCAGTACCCTCGGGGCACCAGAGAGTGTCCCCCCGCTGTCGGTCACTTCGGGGCTGCCCCCCCTCTGCTTGCCGACCCGGGGCTGGCCGGGGTTCACTGGGAGGCACCCAGAGAGACAGAGACAGCCTCCCACGTCAGGCCGGAGGGGAAGAATCAGTTAGGAGAGGTATTTGTACAAAGAGATGTATTTGCAAGGCAAAGCCCACCCACCTGTTAACGTGCTGCATGATGTTTCCTGGCCAAGCCAGCTGGACCTTCAGCTGCCCTCTGTGCTCGACAAAGAAGTCAACCAGTGTTCTCGTGACTGTCGCCGAGGTGTGGAAGAAAAAAGCGGGGATCCAAAGAATGGCCCCATCGAGCTTTTTCAAGCTTAAAAAGAAGTTGTTGCGATCCTGAATGGTCAAGAGGTTGTTGTAATACTTCTCCAGGATGCTGGGGTTGAAGGTGGTAAGGTTGGTTTTCCTTCCAACATCTTTCTGGAAAGCCTCAGTCGGAGCAAAATTGCACCGAAAGACGAAATCTGACTTATCAATTTCCTGCCCACACTGGCTCCCGGTCAGGATCCCGCTGTTGCCGACCACGGCGCAGATGTTGTAGTGCTTGTTCAGGATGGGAGACACGTCAGGAAGCAGAGACCTGAAGTTATTGCTGATGGAGAACACGTACTTGTGGCTGGAGTAATCGTAGTGCATCAGCTGCCCGATCCGAACGCTGCTCTTGACCAGAGAAAAGTTTTTGATGACGTCAACGTGCTGAAGGATTTCTTGCCTAAAATGAGAGCAAAACAACAGAAAACATGGAGTCCTAATTCCCCCCCCCTTTTTTTTTTTTGCAATGGATTTGTTTTCCACCTAGACTTATATTTTTCCCTTTTGTTATTTAAAGTGTACTGAAGTAGTTTCCTGATCAGCATGGTGCAGTGGCTTTTAAATCAATATAAATAGGTGGGAATGAGGGAGCTGGCTGCTCACCTAGAGCTCCACTTGGATTTACTGGCTGCTCCCTACTGATGCCAGCTCAGGCTGTGCCTGTGCCTCTTGGAATAGTGTCAGGATTAAAATATGGGATTGGCTGCTTAGGACAAGGGCTGCAGCTCCCATTACACCCCCCCAGTCACCCAGCAGTGCATGGCCCCGTCTGGGCTGTGACACAGGGTGAGGACAGCTTTCTGCTGGGGCTGTGTGTGCCTTTCATTCCTGGTGCAGCCACAAGGCACGTGAAATAAACCCAGGATATCCAACTGAATTAACAGGAAAAAAAAAAAAAATTATGTTTTCATTAACAAGCTTCCAATCACAAAACCAAGCGACGGTCACTGTCTCCATCTATGCAAATATAGTTCCTTAATTCATATTTGGGCAAGCACAGCAGCACTTTTAAGAGGGTTATTAGGGATACTTACAAAGCAAACAAAACCAACCCTGCTTGGGAATTTCCCTTGCAGGGCATAAAATTAGAAACTGAATAGGACTTTATTTACTTATGTTTATGGAAAACAAACAGCCATTCCTCCAGCTCACATCCTCCAATGTCTGAGCATTAATGGAGTCCCTCTGGGTGCCCTAATTATGGGTTCTGGCTGACGGACAAGTGCAAAGGCAGCTCCTTGAGGCATCAGAGGGGTAGCACAGGAACAGGCTTATGGGGCTGCTGGTGCCAGGGATGCAGCAACACTGAGGGTGGCCACTGTCACACAGCCTGGGAGGTCCTGGGGAAAAGATGGGACTAAGTGCCACCTCCTTCCTCTCTGTAGCCCACGGCTCCTGAGGGCAGCGTGTGGCAGCGCTGGAAGGGAATTACTTGTCCTGCTGCCCTTGGACTGCGGCCTGAAGGGAGGAGAAAAGCCCAAACCCTGCACTGAGAGGTGCAGCAGCCCCATCCTGCCTGGCCACAGAGCCAGATTCCTGCTCCCCAGGTGGCACGTGTGAGCAGAGCCACCAGGTAGTCCTTAAACCAGCAGGCATTTGTCAGGACAAAATGACAGTCCAAGACAGCAGTAGCTGTCTTAAATGGTTACATGGTTGTATTTTCCTTTGTAGAAATGCTAAATATATGTAATCAGCAAATAGATGTATGTATCAAGAGTACAAAGTGCCTGCCCCCGCAGCTGGAGGCAGGAGCAGCACTGCACTTGCTCAGAACTGCCAGCAGCTGGGAAGTTTCTCTGCGTGCCTTTGGCCTCCATGAACACAGCTTTTCATGGCTGTTACATGCCAAAGCGTTTCCACTCTTAAAGCACAGCTATTTATCCTGGAGTAACGACAACTCCACTTGCACACCAGGAAACTGGGTCACGTTCTAGTGCAATAATGCGTGTTGCAGCCTGGTGCCCTGCCCTGAAATAATCAAGTCTTTCGGGACAGCTGAGACTGTCTGGGGAAAAGCTCTTGCTCACCTCTGGTGGGCGAAGGCGCTCCGGTTGAAAACCCACTTGGAGGGCTTGTCCTGCAGCTCCTGGCCCAGGGAGTTGGTGATGGGCACGAACGAGGGGTCCAGGAACTTCAGCGCAAACTGAGAGCTGGAGATGGGCACAGACAGCAAAACGTGTACACACATGGGGACACACGGAGACACAGAGACATGGGGACACACGGAGACACAGAGACAGCAGCTTACACACATGGAGAATCCATGGGGACACATGGAGACACAGAGACATGGGGACACGTGGAGATACAGAGACATGGAGACACATGGAGACACAGAGACATGGAGACACATGGAGATACAGAGACATGGAGACACGTGGAGATACAGAGACAGCAGCTTACACATGGAGATACAGAGACATGGAGACACATGGAGACATCCATGGGGACACACGGAGACACAGAGACATGGAGACACGTGGAGATACAGAGACATGGAGACACGTGGAGATACAGAGACAGCAGCTTACACACATGGGAACATCCATGGGGACACGTGGAGATACAGAGACAGCAACTTATACATGTGGAGACATCCATGCACTGACATGAAAACACAGAGATAGCAACTTACACACATGGAGAATCCATGGGGACACATGGAGACACAGAGACGGCAACTTACACACATGGAGACATCCATGGGGACACACGGAGACACAGAGACAGCAACTTACACACATGAAGACATCCATGGGGACATGTGGAGACACAGAGACGGCAACTTACACACATGGAGACATCCATGCACTGACATGGGGACACATGGAGACGCAGAGACAGCAACTTACACACATGGAGACATCTGTGCACATGCATGGGGACACACGGAGACACACGGAGACACAGAGACAGCCATGCACACGCATGGAGACATCTGTGCACACACATGGAGACACAGAGGCAGCAACTTACACACATGGAGACACATGGAGACACAGAGACAGCCATGTACACGCATGGAGACATCTGTGCACACACATGGAGACACAGAGGCAGCAACTTACACACATGGAGACACACGGAGACACAGAGACAGCCATGTACACCCACGGGACACACGGAGACATACAAACACCCACTCACACACACGGAGACACCCATGTGCAGACATGTGGACACACGGAGACACCCACACACACACACGGGGGCACACAGAGACATCCCTGCCGCACACGTGAGGACACCCACGCAAGCACACAGCACACGTGCACACACAGGGCACACGCAGACCCCCCACGGCCAGACCCGCAGCCCGTTACCGGCCGTGCCCGGCCCGCCGCCATCAGCACCACGGAGAGCGCCCGGCGCCGCCGCCGGGGCCGCGGCCGTGCCGCCGCCCCCGCCCGCCTCCCGCGCCCCGGGCCGTGCTGCCGCCGCTCTCCGGCCCCGCTCCCGCGTCCCCCCGGCCGGGCCGGGCCCGGTGCCACCATGGCGGGCCGCGCCTCACCGGAATCCCGCGTGGAACATGTACATGCGGGGCCCGGCGGCGCCGGCGGCGCGGGGCGCCCCGAAGATGTTGTCCTTCTTGAGCGAGACGTAGCTGATGAGGGACAGGATGAGCAGCGCCACGCTGAGCATGACGAGCCCCAGCACGCTGGCCACCCGCACCATCTTGCAGCTCCGCATGCCGGAGGCGGCCCCGCGGCTGGGCGGGTGCGGGGCGGCCGCGCCGCTACATTGGGGGCGGCGGCGGGGCCGGGGCCGGGCCGGCTCCGCCGCGCCGGCCCCGCACGGCCCCCCCGCTCCGCGGCGGGACGGCCTCGGGCGCGGCCCGGCGCCCCGGTGAGCCCCGACGGGCCCGGTGGCACCCCCGGCCCCCGCGCGCCCACCGACAGCACCAGGTTTCCCTCAGGGTGCCCTGCAAAGCGTCAGTACCCCCCAACAGCACCGGGGTCTCCTCTGCAGCAATTCCCTCCCCAGTGTGCCCACCCTGACATCCCCAGCGTTCCCCCAGCGACCCTAAGGTGCTCAGACCACCCTTCCCACTGCCTTGGGGGGCCCAAGTGACCCCCCAAAGGCCTAGTGTGGCCCAGTCTGGAAGCCACTGGATCCCACGGAGCCCCCAGATATGCATGAGGGCTGAGCATGGCTCAGCCATGGGGGGCCTAGGCTGCTGGGGGCCTGTGCCTCTGCTGGGGACCTTGTGCCTCTGCTGGGGACCCTGTGCCTCTGTAGGGACCCTGTGCCTCTGCTGGGGACCTGTGCCTCTGCTGGGGACCCATGTCTGGGTGGGTGCACGGCATGCCCAGCTCCCAGTTCCCTGTGACACCGTAGATCCCGGGTGGCACGTACAGAGCTGTTGGAGCCTGTGCCGTGCAGTGCACGCCCTGAGCTGGCTCAAAAGATCCCTCACTCTTTAAAAACCTGCTGTTTGGAGCATGGGTCATTAAACTGCCCCTTAAACCACAGAGCAAATCCCATGTGAGCTCCAAGAGAGCCTTCTGCACTCGCAGGGATGTCTCTCATGAACAAGACCCCTGCATGCCGTGTTTCTTCAAACTCCATTTTTCCCCTCACAAAGGTCCCCCCGCAGCCCACTCTGCCTCCAAGCCCCGAGTTCACTGAAGTGCCTCATAAATAATATATCCTGGCTTTGTAGCCCCGTCCTTGCTCTGGGCTATTTCCTACTGCTCTCCATGCATGGAGCTCTCTTTGAAGAGCAGGAGCGTGAGGAGCTCGCAGGGCTGGGGTTTGCATCAGTGTGATTCTTCCTCCTGCAGTGGGAGCTGGGCCTGAGGTCTGTATCCCACTGCTGGGGGATGCCTGTGGATTCAGTGGAGTGAGAGAAAAGGCTGGGAATGCAGGAAATAGCATGGTTTGACACAGGACAGAGGCATTTTATGTGGCTGTCACCTGATGGCCGTCACTGTCCGTCCAGTGCGTGGTGTCCCCACATAGGTGATGCCGTCCCAGTGAAATCCAAGGCTTCCCAGGATAAACCAGCTGCAGACTTTTGCTTTAAATATTTTAGAAATCAGTTCTATAGCATTTAATGTTGTCTCCTGTAGTTTCTGGCCTTGAGTCCTGGGGGCAGGAATAAACCCCAGAGTAAGATTGAGCAGCCCTGGTGTCACATCCTGCCCATTCTCCTGTCTTTTCTCTTACAGGAGAGTTCACAGCTGCTGGACTGGGAAAGACCATTCAGTTCCAAGCCCCTGCCATGGACACCTTCCTCTGGACCAGGTTGCTCCAATCCCCATCCAAGAGAAGCAACACTACTGCCATGTCACTGCTTTTGGGGACAGCTCAGCTGGAGCAAGGACATTGATGGCACTCTGTTCCTGTGTTTGGACCCATTTTTCCCCTGACTCTGTCCATGAAAAAAAGAGATTTGGGAGGACCTTGGGAAGGTGTTTTGGTAAGAAATGTTTAAACTCTGCCGTGTGCTGCAGCCTCTCCCCTGACTCTCAGTGAGCTCCAGCCCCACCAACAAGTTGCAGTGGAAACAAAGGCAGTTCTTGCTTCAGATTCTTCAGAGATAGCAATATGTCAGGAGCCCCTGGAGAGGCCGAAAGTAAATGAATCAGTGCTAGAAAGTGAAGGATATCATCCGTGCTGAATGGTGAAAAGGAGTCCTGAACAGTATCTTCATTGATTTTCCTGTAATTGACACAGAGCTTGGCTCGCCGGAGGCTGCGGCGGGAGCGGGGAGGCCCAGGTACTGCTCCTGCCTCAATTAGGCAGCCCGGGGCTGGGGGCAGCTCCAGAGGAGCCACATGGTCACAGGGTGCTCTGCAAGCTGCCTTGAGGACGAGGGGCAGCTTGGAAGGACGTGTCCCAAGCTGTCAGCACCTTCCCGCCAGTCCTGGGATAGCCCCAGGTGCACCGAACCCTCAGCTGGTGAGAAACGCCGGCCCTAAAGTCAGGAAAATCCGGCAGGAAATCTGCTGAGCTGAGATCTGAGGCTCTCCAAGGAGAAATGTGCCTCGTGTGTGAGACCTCTCAGCTGGGCAGTGGGACAGAGCCCGCTGGCAGGGCACCCATGGGCACCCTGTCCTGGGGCAGCAGGGGTGGCACTGCAGGAGGGATGGTCCCATCGAGGAGAAGCACCACACAAAAGGATCCAGGAGCATCCATCACTTCACAGCTCAGCAGAGGAATCACCTGTCAGGTTGGGCATGCACTTAGCCACTTTTGACTTATTCACACAAAAGGTACACACGGTCTTTATAACAGCACGGGAAACTTGTGCTTTGAAAATCTGCCCCCACTGAAATCCACTTTTTCCAGGCTATCTTTGCAATTTCCCTCCCTCCTTTGAGGCTGGTGTTTGGGGTCTCCAAGCATAAGGGGGTCTCGGTCTGCCTCACAGCGCTCCAAATGGTTTTAAAGTCTCTTTAAAACCAGGTGCTTGTCAGCCTGCTGGGGTGTGAAGATCCATGAATTTATTACCACGAGCATTCTCCCTCCTCGGCTGCATTTAGCAGCCACAGCTGCTGGATTTGCTTGGATTGCAAAGGTATTCCCGGGGGGAAGGGTGTGAGGAGCGAGCTCCTGCGGCTCCCGGGTCACCCCGCTGGGCTCAGGAACTTTCACATCCCGGCCCTTAAGGCAGTGGGAGCAGCCAGGGAGGCAGGAGCCGGCGGCGAACAGGGGGCACAGCGGGGACAGTGCCGCGTGTGCTCGGGGCCAGACGGGACGGGCTGGGCAGGAGTCGGGCTGGAAGCAGGTGGGATCCCGATGGGACCCATGCACGACCAGGTAGGACTGCAGTGGGACCCTGGCAGGAGCCAGGTGGGATCCAGGGGGATCCAGGCAGGGTCCAGGGGGATCCAGGCAGGATCCAGGCGGAACCCCGGCCGTCCCCCGGCGGGACCCCGTCCGCCTGAGCCCCGCGGTTTCCCTGAGTCACTCCCCGCCCGGAGCCCCGCGTTCCTGCTGATGCAGCGCCGGGGTCACTAAATGCTTTGTTGAACGCCTGCCCGCGTGTGCCTAAGTGCTTTCAGCCCGGGTGGCTGCTGAATCGGGTTTCCTGGGACAATTATTTTGAACATAAGTACCCAAAGTCTGCTCGAGTCCTTTTCTAAGTGCTTACGTTATTTTGTTTTAAAAACCTGGCGTTGCATCCTTATCCCTGTGGTCAGAGCCGTCGTAGAGATGTACTTATTTTAATTATATTTGGAAAAATGCTTGCTGGGCACAACGGGCACGTCTCTCCTCCCGACTCTAAAACGTGCAGTGATTTCTCTGAGCCTGTGAGCTCTCACCCTTCTGGCAGTGCCAGGAGCCTGCCAAGCTCCAGGCATCAGGAATCTTTGGGAATTCAGTCCCAAGCCTCACTGGGAAACAATGGGAATAATCATGGCGTGCCCATGAGGAGGGATTGGGGTGTGTGTTGCTGCCTCCTCCACTCACTGCTCCTTTTAGTGCAGGTCCAGGGTTAGTTAAGCCAGGCCTAGCAAGGCCGGCAGCTGAAGGGAGGTCCTGGGGGCTCAGGAGAGCCTCTGGAACAGGGAAATTGCCAGTTCCCAGGTTATTATTCACTCTTCACCTGGTTAAACCACCAGGATTTTACTAAAGGCTTCAGGATCTAAGCTCATCACTTCTTATAATAGTTTATTACACTTTAAAACCATCCCACCACCTGGTCTGTTGCGCTGCATTTATGTCTCCCGTGCCGATTGCTTCACCTCCTTCCCAAGGAAACTGGAGGGATCCTGGAGTGTGGAGCCGGTTCCAGAGGCTCCTGTTTGCAGTGGAGAAAGAGGTGACGAGCCCAGGTGTGTGCCCAGGGCTGGAGGGCAGCGTGGCACTGCAGGGACTCATGGCACTGCAGGGACTCATGGCACTGCCACTGCCCAAGCTGCCCCTGTGCCCCCGTGGGCTGGCACAGGGCCGGGTCCCTCGGGATGTGCCTGCCTGTCTGGGACAGCCAGCCTCAGCAAGGACAGCCAGCCCACTGTGGAAAATCCAAACGAAAGAGCTAGAGCTGGGAAGAGTGCGGAGCCATTAGTGGCGTGCATGCAGCTGAGCTTCCTGCAGATTACTCGTCCTTAGACCTAATCCTCCGCGCTGGAAAAAAAAAAAAAATTCCCAAATCTCTTCATTTTTTTATGGGGTGATTATCACAGACTGCGGAATGATTGTGTAAAAATTAATCCTGGGGGATGAGATCAGGTTTGGAGCTGCAGTGTGGTGCTGGCCAGAAGCTGGTAAACAAACCTTTCCCGGAGTGAGGGCATTAAGCTCCAGTGGCTCCCTTGTTTTCCCTGCTCTTTATCCACAGCTCCAGCTGGGTGCAGGGGTGGCCAGGGATGCCCACAGGCCCAGGTCCCCAAAGGCTTTCCAGGGCTTCCCTGAGGTGGGAGGGGACTGTGGAGCGGGCGGGGGTCCTTGGCAGGACAGATGGGGACACGCCAGCAGCGGGAGCGTGCCGGCTCCATCCTCAGGGCTCGGGTTCAAGAAGGTGCTTAAGCCCAGCATTAGGAGAGCACGCCATCCCCATCCCGCTGCCAAGTGTGATGGATCTGTAACTATTCTGAAGCCATCCATGAATATTGCATGTGGATCCACTTATTGGAGCCTCCCTTGCATGGCTGCCTGGGCCTGGTTTAATGTTGGGCTGTCAGGAAATGCAAGCCAGGGAGGAATAGTTGGGGATCAGCCCTTTTGGTGCCAGCAGGCAAGGGTAGGGCGGGGAGAGGCAGGTCTGGGGGGCACT